CGACACTCCTGCCATCTCCATCTTTGTCTCCAGTGCTACAGGAGGTCATCTCCCTCCGCCCTCACCCCTAAGCCCAGCTCTGTTTCCTCAGCCTGAGTGGTAGGCAGGAGAGCAGAGTGCCAGGGAACAGCTTTTGTTTGGCTCCATTTGCCCTGAAAGCTCATGATGACAGCTTTGGCCTGCCAGTGCCAGTGCCCAGTAGCATTCCCACCACCAAGGGTTAAAGCCCAGGAGCCCCGCAGCTCACTGGGTCCAGGCCCTCATAAAAGCCTTTTCCTCACAGCCCCTGGGCTGCCTCGGGCTCCCTGCCTGAAATCTGATAAGGGGCCTCTTTGTTGGGACTGTCAGTCTCCTTTATTGAGGAGGGAACTGGAGACCAGCGGCATTTCTTGGGGGTACCGATAAGGCCCTGGATTCCTGTCAGAGGGAGCATGATTAATTACCCTCAATCCTGGCTCCTGCTTTGATAGCAGTGACTGACAGTCCACAGGCTTCCCTGGTAGGTGCTCACACCCCCTCAGGGAGGCTAGATGAGGCGCGATGCCCCCTCCTGCAAGGCCAGCACTAGTGATCGCAGGCGCGCTCTTCAGTGGCTGGCAGCCTCCTTCCTGGTCCCAGGCAGGTTGCTCTTGCATTCTGTGTGGGCAGAGGCCTGTCCCCTCTCAGGTGACAAGCCTCCTTAGAGGAAGATGTAATCCAGCCCAGAGAGCAGGCCAGAGACACCCCTTCCCCACAAGGCTGGGGAAAGAACTGGTGCTTGTGGCCTTAAACTTCAAGCCGGGCCCTGCAGAGAGGATCCCACACCCTCCATCTCAGGGTCACTTGGCAGCATTATTCTATAATTCAGGCAAGCTTTTAAAACCAGGTCACACCCTCCCTTTGGTAATAATCATGACTATCAATTTTTGTTTTTTAAGTTTTTATTCATAAACTCATAGGACTTTAGAACTGAAAGTCATCTATCTAAAATCCTCATTTCACAGATTGGGAAACCGGCATGAATATGTCAGTCTCCCACACCAGTATGATGTATTGTCCTCTTTCATTCAGGCTTCTTCCCCCTCTCTCATCGTAGTTGAGTCTCCTTGGGACAGGAGGTGGCTACCAGGTCCCTTAGGCACAGAGCAGACTGCAGAGACAGACCAGCTCCAAGGTCCTGCTTCTCTCCTGGTTGTCAGAGCATGAAGCCAGGGCAGGATTTGTGTCTGGATAATGTGAGAAAAGCAGGCCGTCACCCAGAACTAGCACCCAGAATAGCCTCTGCTTTGTTTCTGACCGCTCTAGGGGCTGCCTGCACTGGGAGCTACTTTTAGCTGCTTTGCAGAGGGCCAGCCATGATGAACACACGCGTCCTCTTATCCACTGATCTCTGGAGGCACACGGGGACCCGTGTGAGGGGATGCAAGAGCAGGACTGCAGGGGCCACTGCCAGGGCTCCAGTACACGCCTAGCCAGTGGTTTCTTTGCGGAGGTGCTGGGATGAGGTTGCTTTTTGGTTAGATTTACAGCCTTGACTTCAAACAACACTTTGCCTCTTGCTTTCTCAGGTCCTGTCTCTACCTCTGTTTCCTCTGCCCCAGAGCAGTTTTTAACCTAATGCAGTCAAACTCTATGGCACTATAAAAGGGTACTTTTTAATGAAATTTTTTTTTTTAAATTTGCCGGGGCCTCAGTTAATGAAATTTCTACATCCATAACATTGTTGCCTTTCAAAGAAGCCATCTCAAATGGCTAGACATTTAGTCCAGTGACTACTCAGGTTGAATTTATGTATGATTCCTCCAGGGAGTTGGCCTGCAGAGGAGGCAATTTGAGCCACACAAGGAAATCGGGCTTGGTCTTTGGCCACACCTCTTCACACAAAAAGTATAAACAGCCTAGTCACCCCATCCTGTTCTGCTGGCCTGCCTCCATGAATGACCATTTCTAAAAGTAAAATACACCCTTTACGTTTGAAAATTTACCACCACTGGAGAGATTCAAGTGGAAATAGTGCAAACTCTGAAGACTCTTTGCAGATGGAGCTACAAAACTTGTGGTAACTAGCCCTCCAGGGTGACTGTTCTGAAGGCCAGCCTTCCATCAGCTGGGCAGGCCCTGCTTGGCAGGCATGCCTGCCCTGTGTACATCACAGACCCAGCCACCTTCCCCTCGTTAGCAGGGTTTCTCTCTCTGGCCCCACTGTGTAAAGTTACGTGTTCTTTACCTTCTCAAAATCTCCAACTCTCCGTCCATTCTTCTGCTGCTCATCCTCTTATTGGGGGACTTGGATGCAGAGAGCTTGACCACTCTGGACCTCAATTCCCCACTCTGTTTAATGAAGGTCATGACCCTGGTGAGCCTACTAGGGCCTGAGAGGAGAGGCTGACTTCTTTCAGGGCTACCAGCGTTAACGCTTACACCTAGGGATGGGGCCTGGTGGACACACCCCAAGCAGGCGGGAAATGCAGTTAAGATTCCCAGTGGGGTTACCATGGAGCTGGTTGCTTTGACTTTGAAGAGCTGGGTTGTTGTTTTTTTAAACCTCCACGGTAGTTTAGTTTATTAAACACTATCATTAATATTGAAGACATGTGAAGGAAAAATAGTCGCTGCCTTCACAGAGCTACAGCCTCCCTGAGATACCAGATGAAAATATACAAAACAATTAGAAAATAATCCTTTGCTGAACTTGGAGGGGTTATAATAGAACTTCTGAAAGGGAAGGCACCCACATGAACTGGAGTAGTTAGAAAATTATTCCTGGAGAGAGTGAACATTGAAGAGAGGGTTGGAAAGGAGGCTGGTCATTTTGGCTTGAGGAGGAAGAGCACAAAGCAAAAGAAATGAGCTTGGTGTGGGGGGTAAAGTGAGGAGACCCAACTAATTGAAGAGCGAGTCGTCGGGACGCGCTGGAAACTTCCTGCATGATCTCTGAGGGCGTGTCGAGGAACTGGGTCACGACGTGGAACGTGTGGGGTGGGATGGGTAGGCAGTAAGAGCCTTGGTAGGTTTTTGTAGCCTCAGTAGGAGGTGAGTAATATGGTGAGAGTAGTGTTTTAACAAGACTGCCTGGCAGTCATGTGCAGGGTAAGTGCATGGATAAGAGGCTGCTGCAGACATCTGATTGTGAGCCAGCCAGGGCCTGGTCCAGGGTGGTGGCTGCAGGCTGCAGAGGGAGACGCTTGAGACATACCTCAAAGGAAGAATCAGCGGAGCTTCCTAACAGCATAAATGGTGGTGATAGAGGAGAGAAGTGGAGCCAGTGCAGCCTCTGAGGTTCCTACCTAAATGGTTGGAAACAGGAAGTGATGGGAAAAGGGAGCTAGCTTAGGGGATAAAGGTGAGTGCAGTGCGAGCACTAACTGGGAGTGAAAAGGTCACACATGTAACGATGTCCTGTAAGCTTCTGGAAATTAAACTTAGGGGGCCTGTGTGAGGGGACCTTGGGAGTGGTCCCCAGAGTCTCCAGGCCATGCCTTGGAGGGTATGAACTCACCAAGGCCGTTAGTGTGCTCAGCCAGTCTCCTAAAGGAAATGGCCTCTAGTCTGTCCTGCCAGGAGACTGGGTTCTGCCGCCTAAGACCAGCAGTAAGGGTGACTGCCAGAGCGGCACGGGGAGAGAAGGTTAGCCAGTATACGAGCTGCGTTGTGTGTCTGCAGGGCATACCAGCAGTCCTCTGATAGTTTACCTATGAGTCTGAATCTAACTCCATGAGCCCTTTGTTCTTGACCCTCCAAAGACCAGCTGGTCAAGACAGAGGCCTTGGAGACCTCCCCTCCCTCCATACACTGAGAACAGAGGCCTGGTCCTGCCATAGCAGTCCCACATTTTCACGCTCACGCTGCCTCTTCTTCATAAACATGGGAGCCTGCACTCCATTCTCTGGCTTGAATTACCCTATAAAAAGAGTTGGTGCGGCTGACATTCCGGGGCTGAGAATGAGAAGAGAATGCCGTTCCTTGAGGGGAAAGAAGCAGGATGAGCCGAAACAAGCAGCCCTTCTCTAGCCAGGCTGGCCTACCATCCACCAGGCAGGCAGGCGGTCAGTGAGGTTGGGGCAGTGGGAGGGGGCCAGGGCAGAGGAGGAGCAGCCCGTGTACAGTACAAGGAGTTTGCCATCAAAAGGCAACAAGTCTCATACCCTGCCCTGCACAGTGACCCTTCTCTTTGGAATTCTCCCCTCTGACCTCCAGATCATTAATCCCGAGGCTGCCAACTGACAGTCATCCATCACGCCTCCTGACGAGCATCCCAGCCGCCCCTGAAAGGAGCCCAACCCCACCCTCCCTGCGTCCCCTGGTGCTCATTAGTGGGCCTTCCTGCTAGGTGCCAGGTTTCCTAATCAAGGCCCTGGCTCCACTCACTTCCCTTCCGGGCCAGTGGGCGGAAGCTGCTCTGACCCTCCCTCTTTCAAAGGCCAGGGGGGGAGTAGTGATTAGAGGAGAGAGAATTGTTGAGTGGCTTTTCATCCCCCTGGAGACCTGTGTTTCCAGCAGCCCCTTTGACATGGTAGGGACGCGAGAGAGAAAAACCCATTTCTCTCCTGCAGCCAGAGAGGAGGAAGCAGGCAGTTATCCAGGCAGGAGCTCCCCTGTCGAAGGAGTCTGAGAAGGCTTCCCTGAGGAGGAATCTGAATGGCTTCCGAAGGCTGCCAAGGAGCCAGTTGCCATATCAGTAGGAAGGAATCTGGACTCAGTACTGCTAGTGGGGAAAAAAAAATCTTTGAAGTCATCTAGTCCAACCCTCTTGTTTATATAGATGGGAAAATGGACCCAGAGAGGCCACTTGTTTTACCCAAGGCCACTCAGCCTGTTAATTGGACCTGTCTTTCTGTTCATCCCAAGAGAACTGGCAACTAGTCTGATAGCTTCTGGACTTTGGGTGTTTGAGTCAAATTATACTTCTAAGCAGATTTGTGAACATCCTTCCAGCCCAGCAAAAGGTGGGCATACACAGGTGTCTTTTTCTCTGCTTGAGGATGACACAACCCTTTGTTTCTGTCTTGGAACAATCACAGGGACCCCTATCAACCGAATCCCCATCATGGCTAAGCAGATCCTTGACCTGTATATGCTGTATAAACTGGTTACAGAGAAGGGGGGCCTGGTGGAGATCATCAACAAAAAGATCTGGCGGGAGATCACCAAGGGGCTGAACCTGCCCACGTCCATCACCAGCGCTGCCTTCACCCTGCGGACCCAGTGAGTTGGGGAGGGGAAGGCGGGACTGAAGAAGTGGGGTGCTTTAACCCAGAGGAAAGGAGGGAGGACATTTTGTTATATAGTGAGCACAAAGAGTGGGACCCCTGAGACAGCCAGGAGCTTTCTAGGTGAATCCCTCACTAGACTGGAGTAATAACGAGAGCCGGCGTTTCCCAGGTGTCCTGTGTGCTGCTCCTTCACCGCTCTGGTGCATTTGCCTCACCATCAGCTGTCACCCCCCCTCCCCCTTTTCCAGATTACCAAAATATGTCTCAGAGGTTAGTTTAGTGAAGGCCATGCCAACTAATAAGAGGTAGCACTGAGATTCACACCTGGGCCTGTCCCTGAAATCTACACTCTCCAAGACTGCCCCTGCAGGACACAGCACCTCCACCCTAAGCTGGGCCCTTCCTACCTGACACTCAGCTTGCGCAGCAACACAGGACCCGGGAGAAGGCAGGCAGGCAGCCCACTGGGGTTGGTGACCGATTTCTGTCACTGTTTAAGTTAACTTAGGTGGTAGAAGCAGTGAGACCAAGAACAGCATTGGAGAATGAAGGCCAGAGGGGATGCTCTTTGGGAGCACTCTGGAAGATGCTCTATGAAGATTACGAAGTGAGCAGCTGACATATCAGTTAGGTTGCATGCCATGTCCTTGTTGAAAAACACAAGGGTTTTATCTATTGCAGCTGCTCCAGTAGGAGTGGGGGACAGAGCTATAACTAACATATCAGCCCTTCTGTCAAGCTGCTTGGGTAGAGATTGCTTCCTGGGACATCTGACACAAAGAGGGACAGCACTTCTAGGTCCACGCACAAAGGGAGGGCTGGCCCCAGTCTGACCGGCCTGACTCGGGTGGTTAGGAGATCAAGGAGCCGGGCAGACATGTCACAGCACAGCCTGACTTCCCCCAGAACACTAAAACGACCCCAAAACAGCTGTGATCATAGCGGAACTGTCTCTTATTTCCCTTAGTGAGCGCCGCTTGCACTTGGAGCAGTGCCCAGAATTAAGCAGCAGTTAGAGGGGCCTGGGCCGGGGTGGCCAGCAGGCCAGTCCCGGGCTTTTCTCTTCCATCAGGCGCGCCAAGTTGCAGGCCTCTGTCCTAGAGGTCTGTCCAGAAGCTCCTTCCACAGACCTAGCAACTTAAGATGGGAGGCCTATGGTGCCAGGTTCTAGATGACTCTCCTTGCTTCCTTCCCTTCAGGTACATGAAGTACCTGTATGCCTACGAGTGTGAGAAGAAAGCCTTGAGCTCCCCGGCCGAGCTCCAGGCAGCCATCGATGGCAACCGGCGAGAGGGCCGGCGGCCCAGCTACAGCTCTTCCCTCTTCGGCTACTCACCTGCTGCTGCCACTGCCGCCGCCGGGGCCCCTGCCCTTCTTTCCCCACCCAAAATCCGCTTCCCCATCCTTGGGCTGGGCTCCAGCAGTGGCACCAGTGCCAGCAGCCCTCGGATGTCCCCAGCAACCACTCTCAGGAAAGGTGTGCAGGGTCCTGAGGGAGGAAGGGAGCGTCGTTCCTGTGTCCAGGACACTGGTGGGAGGGTGGATTGTGGGTCGGTCCAGCTCTGGTACCTTTGCCAGGTGATGGAGTCCCAGTGACAGCGGTGCCTGTGCCAAATCGCCTGGTTGTGCCCGTGACCTTGGCAGGCCAGCAGGCCGGCACCCGGACCGCCACACTGGAGCAGCTGCGGGAGCGGCTGGAGTCAGGGGAACCCCCTGAGAAGAAGGCATCCAGGCTGTCGGAGGAGGAGCAGCGCCTGGTACAGCAGGCCTTCCAGCGCAGCTTTTTTGGCATGGCCCGGCAGCTGCCCATGAAGATCCGGGTCAACGGCAGGGGTGAGCACCAGGCCCAGGAGTGCCAGGTCATCCTCCAGGCCCCCAGAAGGGTCTAAAGGCCAGACAGCCACATGGGGCTTCTGTGGCTACTGAGATCTCAGTTCACCAAGCTGAGATCATTTTCTGGGGGACCAAAAATTGCTTCAGGCAGTGCCTTATTCTCTGGCAAAAAACAAGAAGCAGTCTGAGGAGGAGGAGGAGGAGCCAGAGACCGTCACGGACAACTGCTGTGTCTCCCCCACAGGCCTTTTGATCTGTCTAAATTAAAGGGCTCAGCCTTCACCCCAGGACCTGACCGGATGCAGGGATGTAGGCAAGCGGAGGGCAAGTCCAGGAGGAAGGCAGCACCTCCATTCCCGAGGCTCAGTGAGGGGCCGCGCTGCCTCAGGCCAGGCTGCCAGTGACCCTCCGAACAAGTGGGAAGTAGGAAATACAAGTTTGGCAGCATAATTGACATTGTTTCCTTTCCTCTCAGAATTTTTCAGGTGCCCCACCTTCTTGTCCCCTGAACCACACACTCCACGTCTCTTGTCCCTGTCCCTCCACACAAACATTTTCTTTGCCATTCTTGCCCTTGACGCTGTCTTAGAACGAACATGAAGTAAGCGTGTACGGGGAGGAAACCAGGAGGGAGCTGTGCGTGTTCCCAGGCAGCTTCCCCAGGGTGAGGAGCAGGAGGAGGCTGGAGGTAACAGCCCAGACACCAGGGTTCTGCTCTGGTACCCAGTCAGGGCCAGGTACCCCAGTCCTGCACAAGCCAGAGGCTAACAGAAAAGGCACCTCACCTGGAAGAATTTTTGGCCCTGCGTATGATGAGCGGGCAGAGTCGGGGGTAGCTGGGTAGAGGCTCTGTGTGCCAGCACCCACAGCCTTCCATGAGCCCCAGATGCTCAGGGTGGGTTGGAGCGCCAGGTGCTGGACAGGTAGACTCTCTCCTTGAGGACCTGCGAGCCCAGTGAAAGGGAGGAAAAGGCAGAGCGAGCCCTCAGAGGCAGAGACGGGGTCCTCGTCGGTCCCCCAGCCTGACGGGTGGGGAAGCTCAGGTAGGTTTACTGGATCGCGTTGAAAGTGCCGTTGCACAGCTGTGAGCCAAGGCCAGACTCCTTGCTGACAGATCCGTCTTCTGTGTAGGCAGAGGGAATTGTGGGGAGAATGCAAGCAGTGGGAATGCTGGCAAGCCTGGGTTCTTGTGCCAGACCTTACACTCAGAAGAAGGTGAGAGAGGTGCTTTCTGACAGTGGACCTCAGCCTGCCGTAGCCAGACTGGGGACTCGGGAGAGCCTCAGAAAGGACGAGGATGCCGGAAGGAAGGCTTAACCAGGCATGCTGTCTCCCCTGTCCCCAGCAGAAGACCGATCAGAGGCCTCGGCCACGGCGCTGAACCTGACAACAGGCAGCTTTGGGAGCATAAACATGTCTGTGGACATCGACGGCACCACCTATGCAGGTGAGGCCCATGGAGCTCGAGGAGGCCCATACGTGGTGTGGCGGCCAGCCTCCTGCGGCTCCCTGGCTGCTCCCGCTTGTCCCCCTCCTGTCTGCACACCTTCCCGCGGAGGGCTCCCTCTTAGGTAGTCTCAGGGTTCCCCACGTACAGTGGTTCTGGAGCGGGAGGCCGAGCATTGCTAACAGGGTGACATCCCCCTCCACCTTCGACAGAACGATAAAAAGCCTTCATCAGACCATTTTGGACCAGTGGTTGGCCTGTTAACTAAACAAGTCATTCAATGTGAAGAATCATAATCAGCTCTATATCCGTGCCTGAAACATTGTGTTATAGGTTAAATTGGTGTTCACCATCACGGTCTTCTAGTGTGCAGGTCTCCTTTCTTTATGCATCAGCTGTCTCTTAAACATCTGTTCCTCCTTTTCTTTTAAATGGACAAAGGACAGACAAAGGCAGGAATCTGAGTGTAGCAGAATCAGCCTAGATTTCAATGCCTTTTCACCCGTCATTTACAGTCGTCTCTCCCTAAATCTAGTTTGGCAAGAGCTGGTTGGTTGGTTGGTTGGTTGGTTGGTTGGTTGGTTGGTCGGTTGGTCGGTTGGTTGGTCGGTTGGTTGGTAGGTTGGTAGGTTGGTTGGGTGGGCCCCTCTACCAAGTCTTTCCAAGGCAGTCAACTTAGTTTCATAGCAGCATTCTCTGCCCACCCCGTTTTGACAGTTTAGGGGTAAGTTTGGGAACACACCCAGCCAACTCTTACTAAGCACAGCTTGGTGAGTGGGGGCTAAAGAGCCCAGGCACACTAGCCAGGGGCCACCTGCCAGGAGCCTGGGCATCGGCCACCCGTCTTACAGACGATGTGGTAGGTGCACCTGCCGTCCGAATGGGGCATTTCCCTAGGGCGTGCTTCTAGCCCTTTAAAGGCTCCCATGCTGTGGGTTTGGGACACTGCCCGCAGGCTGCATGCTCCGGATCTCTGCTGGGCCATCTGCTGCGGGACAGGGACAAGGACAGCTCCTGGAAGCGGTCTGCAGAGAAGCAGCAGTGCCAGGTTGCCACGCCCGTCACTGCAGTCGGTGCTTCAGAGGCCTCAGGCAGCGGTCTGCCTGCCACTGAGGCCCTCGAGGAGACCAGGCGGGCCAGTGGGAGCGGGGACTGGGCGCCCTTGTCCTTCTGCAGTGCTCTGGTGGCCTAGGAGGTTTAGGGGGTGGGAGAGGATGTGTGGAGAAAGCAGGGAAGGAGGTCGGTGCCTGGTTTCGACCTCCTCTTGTTCTCTGTCAGGAGAAAGGAGATAACACCTCCTCTCTCTCAGTGGGGAGCAGTCAGAGGTGAAGGCTCCCCAAACTTCACCACCTGTGCCCTTTCTCAGTGAGTATGCAGTCACCCAGGCCAGGGACCTGGAAGTCGTCCTGACAGCCCCTCAGGCCCATCCTCGCCCCCACAGCTAGGCAGACCCCACTACTTTGCCTTCCCTCCTCCTCCTGCCGTCTGTGCCACTGCGGCCCTGGGTCGGGCCTCTCTCCTGTCAGAGTAGCTTCCTAGCAGGTCCCCATCACCCATATTCCTCCCAACTCCACAGAGAGCATTCTGAAACATACATCTCCCTTATGTCCCTCCCTTAAAACTTTCAGGGGCCTCCTGACCCCTACAAGGTGGGACCTGGGCCTCCTTAGAGGCCTACAGATCTCCGCTACCTTGCCCGCCCATCTCCGCAGCCTCACCTGCCTCCACGCCTTGCCTTTGGCACCCCCTAGTCAGACCGCACAACTCGGCCTCCACACTTCCCACCTCTCTCTGCCCTTCGTTCCCCCAGATTCTTCTGCCTGGCACACCATCCCCTCTTCTTCCTTCAACCACTTTTCCTAACAGTCTTGGCATGGCCTCCCCCTGGAGCCTTCCCTGACCAATTTTCCCCTGCCCTCTAAAACCTTTTTATTCCCACAACACCTTGGGTACACTTCCCTCAGCATTTGTGACATTTCAGCAAAATTACTTTGCCCACCTGTCTGTTCCCTCACCATCCTGGAAGCAGGACAGTATCTGGGACTTGTCAGCACCTTACGCCGTGTCCAGAGGGGAGCCTTGCGCAGTTAGGCAGCAGTAAGCCGGTGCACGTGAACAGAACCTGCCCCTTCTCTCCTCATCTGCTTACATCTGCTTCTCCCCACCCCAGGTGTGCTGTTTGCCCAGAAGCCTGTGGTCCACCTCATTGCAGGAGCTGCTTCCCAGAGCATTGGCAGCAGCAGCAGCAGCAGCAGCAGCAGCAGTTCTCACTGCTCACCAAGTCCTACCTCATCCCGGGGCACCCCCAGTGCAGAGCCCTCCACCAGCTGGTCCCTCTGAGGGGCAGGACACAGCTTCCCACCCAACTCTCCTGTCGAGAGTGAAGGAAGTTGACGCACAGAATTTACCTCATCTCACAGAGCCCACGTCAAACATCATTTGGCCAGATGCTGAGAGTTTGGACATGTCCGCCTGTCCAGGCTCCAATCAGGTCCTGCTGTACTCTGGGGACAGGGAGAGGCTGGAAGGGCAGGACAGGGCAGCACTGTCCAATCAGGGATTGTCCTGGAGGACTGGGCGGGGTTTGTGGGCGGCCAGCTTCCTCGGGGGTTCCCAGGCCACCTCCCATCCTGGGTACAGTGTATTGACAATCTGTAAGCCGACACAGGGTTGGAGGCCCTCCATTTCCCTTCCCATTTAATTTATTTTCCTTCCCCTGCCTTCCACCATGACTCCTGGGTCACTGGTCTCTGCTCAGTCCCCCAACCTGACTCGTGGGGCTGCTAGGAGCCAAGAGCATGCATTTGTAGCCCTTCTCTGCTGAGCCTGAGATGGGGCCCTCCCAGCCCACCTTCCCTACCATGTTTGGTTCTTGGAGTTGCGGGTCCCTAAAATGCAAGTCCTGAAGCAGTCCTCAGGGCCCCTTGTGCCCCTTGTAATGGTCCCAAGAAAGGGCACCTGAGGGCAGTCCTCAGGTCCCAGGGCCTCCTGGGCGTCTGCTGAGGGAGAGGCAGCGCCTTGGGGCTGCCCCAGCAGGCCCTGGCACCCACCTCACACTGACCCTTCTCTGACCCTCCCAGACCTCATGCTGCCCACTCGCCCTCGTTGGCCAGCTCTCGCAAGAACAGCCCACTTGTCCCTTGGGCCCCCCTTGTACTGGGGCCATCTCAGCCCCAACATCCCCAGGCCTGTCGATGTCAGGTTCATTGAAATACCTCAGATTTGTAATTGTTGATGTTTGATTCTTCAGGAAGTATTTGCATCTCTGAAAATTTTTTTATATGTGTTTTGCTGACTTTTTTTTATTTTAAAACTTTTATCGTTGTTGTAGCACCAAAGAAATGATCACCCCAAAGCCAAGCAGATGATTTGGTACCCCAGCCCCTCTGGCCCTTTACTGAGACCCCAGTGAGGAGGCGAGGAGGCAGGCAGGAGAGATGACTCAGGGATCGCAGCAGCGGGAGAGGGTGGAACGGAGAGGCCCGCTCTCACACAGGCTGGGTCCTGAAACCACTCCGGTTCTAAAGATGGTCCTCGGCCCATTTCCTGCCAGAGCACAGCTAGTCCCAGCCCCTACCCCCCACTCACCAGTGTGGGCAGGAGGTCTCCCCTTCACAACACTCCCACCTCAGGACAGGAGCAGGCCGTGGGCCTTGGGGTGTGGCTACACCAGAGCTGAGGAGATGTGAGAGCGCTCCATCTGTCGTCCTGGCCCCCGAGGTGGAGCAGGCCGGTCCTGTGCTGTAAAGGAGTGATTCTCACCCTGCTCGCCACACAGTCCAGTAAGCCCTGCAGTGTGCAGTAGGACACCACCCACTGTGATGTCGTCGGGCTGCAGTGGGAGACCACGCCGGCACAAGCCCACGTCAGTCCTGTCTCGGGAAGGAAGGAAAATCGAGCTTGAGCACAAAAGATACCTCAGCCTGGTGAGCTGCAGCTCAGGGGCCTGCGTCATCCCACTCCCCTCCCCCAGCCCTCCACACCCACTCACAGCCCCATCCACTGGGGCTGACACTCTGCTGGCCTCAGAAGCCTTCCCACCTGACCCACCCGGCAAGCTCAGGGTGTGGGCACAGAGGGCATCTGGGATCTGGTGCCAGGGAGGAAGGAGCCCAGTTGGCTGGCACTGGGCCTGCTTGAAGGTGTCACAGACATTTTGCCAGTCTGTTTTTCTCAGGGGTTTGGTTACGAAGGATGGACTCTTCCCACCCAGAGGACGCAGGGACAGCGCACTGTTATCTTTCTGGTCACTGGACTTTCTCCTTTTTGGGCAGCGTGCCCAACTCCCCTCCCTCAGCGAACCCTCTGTGCCCTGAGAGCTTGAGCATGGTGGCACCAGAGGAGCTTTCCCTGAAAGTGCAGCCCTGTCGGCCTGGGCAGCTCTGTCCTCTCGCCCTCCCAACCTTATATGTATTCTAACCAGGAAAAATGTGATAGCACATGGGTAGCTAGGAGTGGAGAAATACCTCAGACGTCCTCTTGCAGCAAGTGTCTGTATATGTTGTGGTTATTTTCTATCTTACATGTTCTTGAATGTTTATATTTCAATAAACCTCTACCTCTTCACACAAGCAGGCAGGTGTTTCCAGTGACTTTTCCATTGGCTTGTACTGGGGAGAGGCGAGAGCCTTCAGAGTACAAAGCGAGTGAGTGAACTGCTTCTCCGATCCTGACTTTTTCCTGATCCTTCTCCCCTTCACTGCTTTCCCACTGTTTCCCCAAAGCACTCACTCAGCCTGTCGTCTTAGTAGCAGGGTACTTCTGGTATTGCCTGGTCACCAAACTGACCACTGGGGCCACATCAGTGTTCTGGCAGGCACAGAGCTGGCAGGATGGCCTCATTTAGCAAGCCTTTTTTGAGCTCCTGCTGAATAAGGATGGTCCCTGTCCACATGGAGCTCACAGTCTTGTCTGGGAGGCACATGTGACTTTACGAGTATAGAAAAAATGGATTCTTTAGAAACAGCATGGCTGGGATGGTAGACTACAGAGGGGCTGATGGGTGCTGGAGCAGTTCCCTAGACAATCTGGAAGGCTTCCTGGAGGTGGTGGCATTTAAGATGGAAGAATGAGATTGCCAACTGGAGCCGTGAGGAAGAGCATTCTCAGCAGAGGAGCTGATGCATAGGGGAACCTGGTGGCATCAAAAGACCTGACACTTAGGAAGTGACCATTGCCTAGGGTTGGTGAGGTAGAGCGGAGGGGAAGTGGGGAAAAAGTGCAGCTGGGGCCAGGATGGATCCCAAACTAAAGGATTTAGGCTCTACCCTCTGAGCATCAGGGCACTGCCCACGTGCTTTTCTAGAAGGGTATCTGGAGCTGGGAAACATTCTGGGCGTGGACACTCTGGAACACCTCCCCTGGAACTCAGGCCTAGATCAAGAGTGCTCCGTCTTTTTCTCTGCCATGATGCACATCCGATGGGCCCAACCTGGTTTTGGCGAAACCAAAAGAAATGGGCAGAGATAAAGCACTGGGTGGCTTTGTAATTGCCCTCCATCCCACACCATACACCTCACCTGTCTGCATCTCTCTATTGCAAAACGTTGACCCCTTTCTCTGCCATTTTGAAGTGCTAGAAAAGGAGGGTGACACTGGGACAGCCTTGAGCGTCTCTCACTTTTAAAAGATTTTTAAAAATCTTTTGAAAGAAACGATTAACCCTTTTAATTCCTGGTGACCATTATCCGGCCTCATACCTCACAACTTCCTGTGACTCCAGCACCTGTCCTATGGAAATTCCATGGGCCTTGTCTAGGAGAGTGCTGAAAGGTGAGGAGAAGCAGCGTCCAGAGACATCTGAGATGGAAACAGGACAGTGAGTGGAGGCAATGCCGAGAGAGGTGGCAAGTGAGTAAGGCTCCTGATGGAGACAGAGAACCTAGGGAGAATAAGGGACCAGACCACTGCAATTCCATCCCATTTCAGTTCCCAGAAGAAAACACAGGAGAATATCTCAAAGACAGAAAAGTAAGAATTTCTCAAACTAGATCCTCCAAAAAAGTTCATCAAAAGAGACCGTAAAGATAAACTGGGAGGGGGCTGGCGGAGTGGCTCAGTTGGTTAAGAGCGTGAGCTCTGAGCAACAGGGTCTTCTGTTCAATTCCCGCATGGGTCAGTGAGCTGCACCCAAGCTGAGCTGCCAACAGGTTGCAGGATGGCTCAGCTGGTGAGAGCACCGTGCTCCTAACAAACAAGGTTGCTGGTTCAACTCCCACATGGGATGGTGGGCTGCGGCCCCCACCCCCACCCCCACCCCCT